AACTCTGGGCCTGGGCGCTGTCCCTCAGCTCTTCAGCTCAAGGCGAGCGCTCTACCACTTGAGCTACAGCGCCACTTCCGGTTTTCTGGTAGTTTATTGGAGATAGGAGTCTCACTGTCTCTCCTGCCCGGGCTGGCTTTGAACCAGGATCCTCAGATCTCAGCCTCCTGAGTAGCTAGGATTACAGGCGTGAGCCACCAGTACCTAGCGTGAGTTTGTGCTTTTAAAGGTCCCACGTCTCCTGGACTAGCCTAAGCTCAGGTGGAAAAAAACAAGTTGATGGTGGTCCATGTAGGCAGATGGTTTATTTCTTGGGTCTGGGAATGTGCTTAAAGGAGGGAAGTCTGAATGACTGCATGTTCTTTTATGAAGTGAAAGTACACCTACGGGTTGTTGTCTTTATTATAATGGGTCTGGCCTCATGCCATATCAGAGTAGTTCTGTTCTGGTAGATGCCCATTTAAGGAGAAAATATTATAAAGGTCCCAAATGTATTAGAGCAATATAGATTAATGTTTTGTCTACATTGATTGTTATTTGAATTTTATTTGTTAAAGGTTCATTTCCTTCAGAATTAAGGTTGACTCTAAGCTCAACTCACAAATTCCTCTCCATGGCTGCCTTTGGTTTTGGGTTCACTCCTGGGGCAGATGTGATTTATTTTCCTGGGCTTGTTATTAATCTAGAAATGTAATTGCAGCTTGGGCTCAGGACAGTGCTCTGGGACATTAAACAGAAGTGAACAATGCAAGTTAGGTAGATATGACAAATTAAACTGAGCAAATTTTCTCTCAGCTCTCCTGTATAGTACGGTACGTCTGAGGAATTGGTTGTGATTCGTATTGCTGTCAGTTGCTTCAGGTTCATTATGAACTTTTGGCTTGAGTTAGTGGATTCCTGTGCTGGAGGTAGTATATGAGCTGCTTGGGTCTGGGAATGAGTCCGACTAGTGGGGTGTTTGTGTCACGTGACGTAAGGCATCTCTGTTTCAGTCCAGCCTCTGGTTACTGACAAGTGTTTTTCTCAAACCACTCCCTCTCTCTATATAATAATCTTTGTCTTGTTATGTGTATGTATGCGCACATGCATGTATACACAAGGGTACATGTCTTAAGCTTTAAGACTACAGGA